ACAGTGTATACTGATCAATAATCAATAAAGATACAGTGTATACTGATCAATAATCAATAAAGATACAGTGTATTCTGTATAGAAATCTTCTGTCTTCAGTATTACCTGAGACTGTTTGATAAGCAGTTTAAGGTCTGTGATGTGTATTAAGGAAGAAGTGAAGTAAGGAATGATTCAGCAGTGTAGAAGGAACGGTTCAACAGTTTCCTCACTGAGTCAGCAGAACTGGAACTCTGCTGTCAGCCAGTCAGCAGCATCTGTTCTGTCCACTCAACAGGTCTCCACCGAATGTCTGTCACAGAGGCTTCAGGACCAGATGGCCTCTTCTCACACACACACACACTGTACAAACCTGCAAACAACAAGTTTATAAAAACAAACTCAAGAGAGGTGAGCTGTCACAAACCGCTGCTGTCTGCACGCTGCAGAGCCTCTGCTGTCTGAGGCTGCCCTCTTGTGGCCGCCGCTGTGCACTGCGCTCAGTTCAACAGACTCCTTGGTGAATTATTACATGAACGCAAAGGTTGGGCAGAATTTACGGGCAGTGGTTGAATTTGTGTTCTGCATTGCAGCTTCCTGGAGGGACGGCTATAGACTTCCACCAAGATCCTAAACGACAAAGCAAAACTACACAATATAAGACTTCTATCTTCTTCTATTCAGATATCTGACTGAAATATGATGAATACAAACGTACACCTTGTTATAACTCCAGTACCTCTCCCCTCTGAGTGCCCCGATCTGTTATCCATCAGTAAAGTCCGATTTAAATGAGACTTGCTGTTGTTTTTCTTCCCAGGTGCCGGAGATGTTGCATAATGACGCCGGCGACCACGGCTTCAGCCACTGTGGCTTTTTCCTGCTCCAGAACGCCGGCATCCTGCTGGGCTTCTGCATAATGCTGCTAATCGCCATATTTGAACACAAAATCCAGCTGGACCTGGGATACTGAGGGGGGAGGGGGTGTCATCCTGAGCTTCATGTGCGTTTCAGTGTCTCCGTCAGAAATGTAATGTGGTTTTATTTGTTCTAGACAGTCAGCCTGGTTCATTTTGTATTTCCACAAGAAGAAGCATCTGCTCAAACACAGACATCGAAACGTAATCTAGGAAGGTGCCACGTTGACCCCCGACCCCCAGGACCTCTTTTGCCATCATATTTAATTCAGTTTTTTATTTTTTTATCCTGTTATGTCTGATTTTGTCATTTTTTTTATTAGATTTTTTGGAAGTTTTTGTGCTGCTGAGTCAAACCAGATCAGTATTCCAGTAAATACCCAAAGTGCCATAAGAGACCCACTGTTGGCCCATACTGATGGGCCTTCCCACAAGTACCATGAGCTGAAAGTTTCTGACCACAATCTTTGAGCGTTTACCAAGAAATTACTTTTGTTTTCTGACCAACATTCTAAAACTCAAACCATCTGAATCTGAATTTAATCTACTATAGTTACACTCAGTGCTCAGTTTGTGGTAGGGATGGAAACTGACACTCTTTTTGATTCCTGATCAGATTTCTGTGTGGGGAACAAGTAGCCATACACAGGTTTTATTATCTCTGAGTCTGAACACAGAGAATAGAGTTACAGTAGTTTCTTTGTGAGCTGACATTCCTCCGTGCTCCAAGTTTCCAGCAGCGCAGAAGCAGAAGGTTGTTTGTTGTTGTTGTATATTTGCACAGCAACTGCCCTCTATGGCTTGAAACCAGCTATTGCAACTGAATTTCAGAATTGGCTGATCTGGAGGCAGGTGCCGTATGTGGTGGCAGCTTTCGTCTCCAGTGTCAGTGCTGATCTGGGAGCAGATGTGATCAAATTGTTGTTTTTTTGCCGTGTTAAAAGAGGGACGGTGGCAATTCTTGATGTGGATCTTTGGTGACCCAAGAGCAGAAGGCACAGTTGTGTTGTACTGCGCTGCCCTTTATCAAAAAGAGATGGTTTGGAAGTCAGTGCAGCAGAAAAGACGACACCTGTGGCCTTTTTATTGAGCGACAGAGAGCCTGATGGTCAGACTCTGGTAGAGATCAGAGGTATAATGGTGGGAATCCGTCCGTTAAATCAACCAGAGTTCAGCTTGATGCAGGAAAAGGACCTTGTTGGTTAAAACTCTCACTGTTTATGTTCTGATGAATGTGGGATTACTGTAACGGTCTGTTTTGATTCATCATTTAAAAATGAGTAAAATGAAAACATTCATGATCGTGAAAAAGGACAAAAAGACGCAGCTGTGTGTAGGGTTAGGGTTAGGGTTAGGGTTAGAGACGGGGCTTTAGACTTATAGGACTTGGTTCACTCTGCCTTTCGTGGCCACGACCTTTGACTTCAATATGAAGTCTGTAAGAAGAACAGCCAGATAGAAGTACGGCTTCTGTCCAATGGAGAGCTGAGAAACCGAAAGCAAATTATGGCAAGAAAAAGGGGAAACTCGTAGACTGTTTGTTGTAGCGTGTTTTTAATTTATTTTATTGTTCCTGTTATGTGGCAGCTCAACACTGATAGTGTTCAGAGAAAACTAATAATCTTTGTTACAATATTACTCCTGTTCTGTTTGAATTATCACCAACTGCAGATGTCACTCATGTTTTTTAAAAAGAGGCTCTGATGTTTAGGTCAAGGTTTCCTCACAGGTTGTGAAAAAGTCAAGACATGAACCTCACTGTGTATATTACATGTACTATATGATACTGTATGTATATATTTGTGTACAATGCTGTACAAGTATGTGTGTCATTAGTTTCAGCTGTCCACTCAATGTTTGTCTCAGTCACATCAACACGAACCAAAAGATTGATTTATAAAAGGTAGAGTGTGCAAAACACGTCTGAGTGAGAGAGAGTTGTTCTTTCTGTCTAAAACCAAACTTAAAGCCACGCAGTCGATTCTCACAGCTCAGCTGCTGATTCGACTCATTGGTCGTTTTTGAGGTCGTCACTTGTGGTCAAAAGGTATCTAAAACTGATCTGAGATAAGAGGAAGTCCAAAACATCAGGACAACATCTGCATCGAACACAGTGATTTAAAGATCAGTTTCAGACTCAAACACAAACTTTAATTTATTTGTGATTTGCCATCAGCATGTTTTCTTTCTCACAAAATATAAACATAAACAACCTGAAAAACCTTTGTTTGAATACAGCATCAACTGAAACATTTGCATTAACACCCCCTCTCACTTTTTCACCTTCTGACAGACTTGCTCAGATGCGACATTAACTGACGTTTGTAAAAATGTCCAAGCATTCGTCTTCTACTCTTTTGATCCCAGACGTATGTGATAGAAACAAAATATATTTCAGTGAACAAAGTGATGTCTTTTGTTCTTTTCACAGCAATGAGTTGAATGTCGACTATATTTTATATTCAACTCCTTTTGTGAACAAATACAACCTAATGAGTTATATTTGAAAGCAGCTCAGATCGTGTGTATTGTTTTTTATGTAATAAGAGAATTTTTTTTTCTAAATGCAAATGTGTGTATACTTTACTTAAAATATACATAACAGTGAAAATGTACCAGTGTTAGTAATGACAAACGGACCCTGAGTGTAAACTAGAGCTGCAAACATTTAGTTTATCAGCATATTTATCGTTACATTTTTCATATAAAAATGAAATATGTAGATTTTGGGCTTTTCTCTGTTTCACATCATATTAAACTGAATATATTTGGCGTTTGGACTGACAGAAAGACATTTAAAGACATCGCCTTGTACTCTGAGATACTGTGATGAACGTTTGTCACTATTTTCTGACATTTTATAGACTAAACAATTCATTAATCTAGAAAATGCTCAGCAGATGAATCTATATTGAAAATAATCCGTAGTTTCAGTAAACCTTCACAAACACCGACTCGCTGCGTAAAATCGTAAATTACTCGACCCACCAGTTTGTGATCTGTACGACTTCCTGTGGCCTCAAAAATGACCATCGAGTCCACTCAACATCTGGATTAATCTCCAGAAAGGAGAGATTCAACAAACTGACAGTTTAAACAGTGTTTCTGTTCTTTTCCCATCTCTGTACCGGCTGACGGCCTGCACTGACCTTCAGGCAGCTGTGGTGTTGACTCACTTTGCTTTTTGACATTCCTGAACACAAATAAAGTTGCTCACCTTCCCACAATGCTCTGCCCGAACCTCTTTGTGTGTCTGCACATCCTGAACAATGCAAAACCAAAACCAATATATAATTTATCTTTATACAGATGTACAGGAGTACATTCACACAGTGGTAAGTGTTGTTGAACAGCTGAAAATGTATTCTGCTCATTAGACACATCTACTTCTCTTCAGTGCTGTGATCTTTAACCCTAGACTTAATGATGTTACTGTTGGAGCTGCTCCAAGTGGAGCTAGTTTGAACTACTTTATATGCAGTTAGTTGGCCAACATGAGTCATCCATGTTTGGTTTTCAGGCCCTGAACGCTACCTAAAAATTATACACAATAACACTGGTGATCACTGTATCTCAATATAACATGAACTCAGCAGAACAGCTGGCTTTGTGCAGGCTGACTCCCTGTCACATATAATTGACAGAATTATCTAACAAACAGCATCCAGTTCAGTGTCCTGCCCTCTACACATCCTGTCTTCTCTTTACAGTCCTTATAAAGCACTATGTATAATCCTCAAAAGTCTGAGCGTATGCAGAAACACAGTTTGTAAAATTAAACTTGTAAGCTTGTAAATTAGAAAGAATAAAGGCAGCAACCTAGACTGAAGAGTATTTTAACAACACATGGCAATAATGATGATATTCTGGACAAAGTCTAAAAACAATCTGATTCCAAGTGAAGACCACTTTTTCTAAACTTAAAGGAAACCCATATCTGACCTGGAAACATTTACTGTAATGAACTGTGTGTAGGATAAAAACAAGCTGAAGCTAAAAAGAGCAAAAATAAAGCTGAGTCAGAAAAAGAACAACATTTGCAACTAAATTTATTTATTATTTCTTCTCAATCAAATAACATTCAAATAATGAAACAGTGTTTCCAGTACAATTAAACATTTACCAGATCATCTGGTATCAACATCTTAATATCCAAATTACATTGAAAGTACTTATGTCTTTTGAAGCATCTGAAGTACAATTAGGCAACAAAAATCAATAAAAGATAAATATACAAAATGCATCGGGTTAAAGTTAAAGACAAATGTTAAAACCTGAAATCTGTATTTTCTTAAATCAATGTATTACTGCTGATTCTTTAGAGCTCTGTTCCTCTATAACTTTTAACCATTGGTGAACAACAGTCACATTAAGCCTTGTCCTCTGTGTGCTGTTTGATCAGGCTGAATGTCACAGACAGCAATTGTGTTACCGTCTTTGTTACCAAAATCCTCTAAGATACAAGTTACAATAATTGGCAAACCCACAAACAAATAGTCTTAAACCATAAACATTTAGCATAAAATTAGAATGATTACAAATATTAAAAAGTGTATTCTTAGTGCTAAATAGATTCATTAATGAAAATATGAAAATATCTGTGTGGCAACAATGACTGTCATCAATAAATTATTAAAAAAGAAAACTATTCTTAAAAGAACATGTAGACATGCCATCCAGGGCAGTGTGGTTGTTAACCAATTAAAACATTGTTATTGATTAAACTGCAGTGAAATCTGGCGCATTCATGATTGTCTAACAAAGCTTGATAATGAAAAGAAGTAGAGGCAGAATTCAGCTTGCTAACCTACACTGTAAGCGTAACATACCATGATAACTTTAGCATGACAACCTGCAAAATGTTAGCATGTTACTAGAATCAGAATCAGGGTTTATTGTCAATTATTCACATACAAGAAAAAAAAAAACAACCTCACAGTGCTGCTAACATGGCTGCACAAAACAGTTTTTTACCTAATAAAAGCCAAAGAAATTTGCAGCTTTCTTGAGAAAACCTTTCTTTTCTTGCCTCTCCTGTCTTTCTTCAGACAGTTCCTCGTCCGTTTTTGTTAGTTTATCTCGTTTGGCTACTTTGGAGATAATTTTAGCCTTTTCCTTCATTGCCTCCAGAGACTGAATTCGAGCCTGGTAACCCTCTTTAGCCTCTGACTTTTCTCCTTCAATCAGCATGTCGATGTACCCTGGAGTGGTCAGAGGGTTCGGCCTCAGAGCGATCTCTTGCAGACGAGTTAAAGAGTGAGCTGACTGATCCATGAGGGACACTATCATTTCTTGAAGGTGAACAATTTCTTCCTCTTGCCTCTCAATCAGTTCCTGAACAGTCATCTTTTCTTTTGTAGCATTTTCGTACTTTTCTTTCAGTTCTTGCAGTGTCTTCTTCTCTTTTACTTGAACATACTCCCAACTGTATGTTTGGTTGAAATGCACATTCCAAATGCATTTCCCAGGGCAGACAGTGCACCTCCCTGTCATGTCCATTGCTGTACATTTATGTTTTTGATCATCATCTGCTATCGCACATGGGTAGTGGCATGTTACTGAACAATTCTGGCAGTTGGTAATGTACTCTCCTTTCTTTGTGAGCTCTTTTTTGACTGGTTTAATGACATCCACCTCAATCTCAAAGTTTTCATTTGAAGTCATAGCTGTTTCATGCTCTTTAATTTTTTCTTTGGTTGTCTTAATTTCTTGAAGTTTTGCCAATCCAGCTTTAACTTGTGGTTGCAAACCTTCAACAGCTGTTTCAAGATGCTTTCGTTCTTTCAGAACCTCTTGAGTCATTTGCAGACTTTTGGTTGTCATTTTACTCAAAGCAGTAAAGAACTTCTCCATGCTTTTGGCACCCATGTTCCAAAACATTTCATCAAAGTTTTCATCATCTTCATCAGAGTCCTCATCACAGGGCCCGTCACTGACACATTTGTTGTCAGCAAACAATGCAGAGTTGTTGAATTTGAAGTGAACTGGAAGCCCTATGTCATTTTTTGGACATGGAACTCCAGAGACATTGATTGCCTCAAGAACTGGTGGCTGCTTGCCGTCTGCAAAAGTCACCATCATCTCAATGTTCTCTGCCACATCTTTTCCAAAAATGGACAGCACTGAGTCAAACACATATCGCTGGGTTGCTGTTAGTCGTGCAAGAGAGGCCTGGGTAACAAAACACACTGCATCAATCTCACTGACTCCACTAACAGAGGTGAAAAGCCTCCGAATTTGATCTGTGATCTCCCTGTGTCTTTTTATGCCTCTTGTGTCTCCAAACCCTGGTGTGTCCACGATGGTCAGAGAGAAGGGGATTTTA